CAAGAAAAATAGCATGTTTTCTCTTATTTGTGGCAGTTAATATATGGAGAGAGGATCTTAAAAGGAGGGGATTAAAGAACGGAGGGAAGTGAATATTCTTAGAATTGAATCCATGAACTACGTTGAATCTGTTCTCTTTGTATTCATGAGAATTGTGTGTTAGTAACATGCTGTGACCCTGAGACTGTAATGTATTAAATTCCTGTTAAACAGTTTAAAGGAATGAAAATAAGCTGATTGGTTGACTACATAGTGACTTTCTAGTATCAAAAGAAAGTCATGAGATTAAAAAATTAATAAGTTAGTGGAAATAATTGTCACACATAGGAGCCATTTAGAGCTAATAGCCTGCACGTAGAACAAACCCTCAATATGAAGCTTTTTTCTTACATTTCAATCAAGATTGGTTTTTCAGAGAATGTCTACATTTAATGTAGTCATTGAAAACATTGGATTAGTGGTAGATCTGACAACCAATTAAATCTTACCTTTGTGATTTATTTAAAGTTCATAGAAGTCAGTATGTACTTGAAAGTTCTTGGTAGGAAATAGCTAGTTCGGCATCCATTTAGCAAATGTTGGAGTGCTTATAGAGTGACAAGGTAGTGAGGGGTACAGTGTTAAAATAGACAAAACCCCTTGCTCCGGGGCCTTCCCTGAGCCAGTCACTGCTTGGTGCCTGTATGCTACCTACCTATAGCCTAGCTCAGAGTGGTTAGGTTATTTCAGGGAGAATAAGTACCTTGGCCCAAGCCACTCAGCACTTAAGTGATAGAAGAAGATTCCAGCTCAAGTCTGCAAGCCTCTGAACCCAGTGCACTCTGCTCAAATTACCGTAATTGTTGAGCTAAATGAAACTTTCTCACTCAGCCTCACTGACAGAGCTATCATTACCTGTTCCCTTCTTCCTTCACACCTGCCTCAGCACTGGAGTTAAGACTCAAATCAAGGAACCGTTGGTGGAAAATAGAAAGCTTTGCAGTGAATGCCTTAGACATGGGTGATGTCTTGTTGGCTATATATATATTATATTGTGTTATTATTATATATATAAAGCTTGGCCAAGAAGATACAGAAACAGCCTCATCCTGCATTATTTAGTCCTGCAGAAGATCCTGTGAGGAGCTTTGGTACTATATGTTCAGTAATATATATCATTTAAATTTTAACACATTTGCACAATATAAACAAGTAAAAAGTCATCCTCATAGGTTTGAGGAAGGGGGGAAGAAAAAGAACAAGAACATATATGGTTCTTCATGTCTGAGCAGCAATTAGGAGCTAATTTGAGTTCTCTAGAAGAAAAACTGTGTGTGAATCTTTGTGTGTTGTGATTTAATGAGCAAATGTTTTCCAAAGGGAGGAAGCAGAGTAGGGTGGTGGGCTAAGGTTAAGCAAGCGTTGATCAACAAGGATTGATCCTCACTGGAGTCTGCTGCCCACCGCTAGCCTCTCATCCCCTAGAGAACGCTGGAGAATGAGTTGTATTGCAGAGGCCCACAGTGGACACTGGGGAGCTCATCCTTTATACACTGGGTCAGCCAGTCACTGGCTTTATGATGCATGGGGATTTGGTGAGGGCTGGGGACCTGGAGTCAGATATGTTGGACCAACCCAGAGTGGCTGGGGGTACCTTACCCTAAGAAAGGGGGCAGCTGTGAGCATTAGTGGCCAACTCCCAGCAGTTGGGGATGGATATAGTGCCCACCCTTGTGGGTCTGGATGGGAGATCAGTTGTGTTCACTGCTGAAGTCCATAGGAAATTTGGTGAATGACCAGATAGTGAGTTTTGGTACACAGCTGGAGCCCTCTGACTAGATGCCAGCTGAGCACAGGGTTTATCACCGGGGAGCTTCTCCATCTTTGCTTTACTTAAGGGTGTAATAGGTGTGCAGTCAAGAGGCATCATGGCAGGCATTCCCTGTAGAAGCTGAGAAGTTTGAAAAAAGGAGAAAAGAGAAATTGAGACATAATTGGAAACAATTGTGAGAAATTAGTTTATGTAATACCAACTTAGAAAAATGATAATGAATTCCTACAAGTCTCAAACATTTTTATTCCAGATTTTTCCAAAACTTTTAAAAAATATTTATTTACTGGCCAGCGCTGCGGCTCAATAGGCTAATCCTCCACCTTGCGGCGCTGGCACACCGGGTTCTAGTCCCGATCGGGGCACCGGATTCTGTCCCGGTTGCCCCTCTTCCAGTCCAGCTCTCTGCTGTGGCCCGGGAGTGCAGTGGAGGATGGCTCAAGTGCTTGGGCCCTGCACCTGCATGGGAGACCAGGAGAAGCACCTGGCTCCTGGCTTCAGATCAGTGCGGTGTGCCGGCCACAGTGGCCATTGGGGAGTGAACCAACGGCAAAGGAAGACCTTTCTCTCTGTCTCGCTCTCTCACTGTCCACTCTGCCTGTCAAAAAAAATATTTATTTACTTATTTAAAAGGCATAGCAACAGGGTGTGGGGACAGGGGTGGGAGACAGACAGATTCTCCATCCACTGATTCACCCCACAAATGGCTGTGACAGCAAGATCTGGACCAGGTCTAAGCCAGGAGCCCAGAACTCTATGCTGGTCACCCGCATAGTTGGTAGGAGCCCAAGCACTCAGGCCATCTTCTGCTGCCTTCCCAGGTGCATTGATTCCCAGGGAGCTTGATTTGAAATGGAGCAATTGGTCTTCAAACTGGTGCTCTGATATGGGATGCGGGCATGGAACACAGTGGCGTAACCCACTGTGTCACACTGCTGGCCCTTCTAAAATCATTTTTACATATGGGTATTTTCCTGTAAACATTTTCCCCCTAACATTGCTTTGCAAAGAATTTTTCAGCTCTGCAAGCTTTCATTCTACTGGTCAACAATGTTTCTTCATAAAGAGAATGCAAGAAAGAATTTGAAGACCTTGAGTTTTGCTGATTAGTTCTACCTGTGCTTACACAGACTGTGTGTTTTGTTTATGGACCAAAGCATATATGGGCCATTAAACCAAGGAATAACCTCAAGTGAAACATTTCATAGGTTCTGAAGCACTCCCCTGCCTTACACTTTAGCATCCCTGAAATCTGAATACATCTTGTCATGAATGGCATCCAATTATAATTGGGAATTTCTTTTCCTTTGTTCGTGGTATATAAGCTAATAATGTACTTTATAATTGATACTGTCTCAGATTCAATGAAATGCAATGTATTGGTTTATCTGTTGTAGTTTGGGTCTTATGTATCGTGTGTTTGAAGATTAGTTCTTGAATTTTTCATAGTAGTCTACCTTTCCTCTTTCAGTGAGAGAGAGACAGAGAGAAAGGTCTTCCTTTGCCGTTGGTTCACCCTCCAATGGCCGCCGCAGCCGGTGTGCTGCGGCTGGCGCGCTGCACCAATCTGAAGCCAGGAGCCAGGTGCTTCCTCCTGGTCTCCCACGCGGGTGCAGGGCCCAAGCACTTGGGCCATCCTCCACTGCCTTCCCGGGCCACAGCAAAGAGCTGGACTGGAAGAGGAGCAACCGGACAGAATCTGGCGCCCCAACCGGAACTAGAACCCAGGGTGCTGGCGCTGCAGGCGGAGGATTAGCCTAGTGAGCCGTGGCGCTGGCCGTGCCTTTCCTCTTTCAAGCACCTGTTGCCTCACTTTGTGTTGTGCATCTTAGCTTTCAGCAACCTAGAACCCAGACTATGGCTGTAACCCTGTATTTGTGGAGAAAATTATCCAGAGCAATTTGATTGACAGAGATAGGAATTAGACAGGAAAAAGATGTTTCTTCTTTGGGTTAACGTAACAGAGACTGAGTCTCTGGGTTTTATGAATGGGATTCTGTCTCTCCTGCAGGAGTGACACATGACAAATGACTGTAGCATATTTTTGAGAAATACGACTACGGTGGTGGATACATGTCATTCTACACTCGTCAAAGCCCATGGAATGCACAGCTGCAAGAGCAAGCCCTGACGCAAGCCATGGGCTTGGAGCGAGCACAGTGTGTCAGTGCTGGTTCATCGGTTGTTGTAAACGCACCACTCTGGTGTGGGATGGTGACAGTGGGCGTAGCTGTGTGTTTGTGGGGCAGAGTCTACGGGAGCTCTTTGTAATTTCTTCTCAGTTTTCCTGTGAACCTAAAACTGCTCTAATACATGAAATCTATGTTAAATATATATCTACCAAAAGCTGACAGTGACAAAACAGTGGCCTGTTTTGGGGGTGGAGGTGATATTCTAGAGAGTCCTGGACACACATTCCTGTCCCTCAGCTGTGACTCGTCTCCTTGGTGGAGATGCCGTCCCTTCAGGGCTCCTGTGCCCAATAGACTGTCCCGTGGAGGGTGCCGAAAGCGGCCCAGGTATTCTGTGAACACATCTCCCTGAGCAGGCATTGTACAGAAACGCTGCATGTAGTCTGATGGTGCCCTTTCCTGTTAGTGTGCTACAGAGTTCCAGTTAACCTACAGTGCAAATCAGGTGTACGGTCTCCACTGATGATGTAGTACATCCCTCCTCTACCATTTTCCGTAGCTCAGAACTTACCCTGTGCCAGGAAGGGTACATACTAACACAGGCACAGAGTTTAAGATATGCGCACGTGCATAAACATGCACACCTTCCTTCAAGAGGCCATCACCCACCCAATCGAAACTGGGTGACTCATTTCCAGAATGCCTGTTGCTGTCATTAGATTCAGTATACAAATTGACTTAAATGTTAGATTTAAAAAAAAAAAAATCAAGTAACTTTTAACCAAAACTTCCTAGAATTATTTTCTGATATTAACATAAAATGTTTGTTGTGGTTTTTTTTTTTCCCCTATCATTTTAATCTCAGTGGACAGGTGTGTCCTCCCTACCCCCTAGAGGTATTCAAGGTGAAGTTCACGTGGATGGAACTGCAGTGAGGTTTACCCTGCGAGCTGCTGGTCACGTGTCTGCAGGAACCTGGGCTGCGGCGTCTGGTGCTGGCAGCGTGGTCCCGGAGCCGAGGTGCTGTTTCTGACTGTCGCTGTCTTCTCCCTACACAGGCCTTGAACCGGGGCATCGCGGCTGTCAAGGAGGATGCTGTGGAGATGCTGGCCAGCTACGGGCTGGCCTACTCGCTGATGAAGTTCTTCACGGGTCCCATGAGTGACTTCAAAAACGTGGGCCTGGTGTTTGTGAACAGCAAGCGGGACAGGACCAAAGCTGTCCTGTGCATGGTGGTGGCCGGCGCCATCGCCGCCGTCTTTCACACCCTGATAGGTAAGGCTCCCGGCGCCACGTGAGCATCTGGCTACCCTCAACTCTTGCTCCTTTTCATTGATGTAATTGTTGAGCATGGAATTGTCAGATGAGTTTATTTCAGTGCAAAAATATTTTGAAAATATATGCATGGGTTTTTTCATAATATGTATTGTACATGACCTTTTTGAAGACCTTTGGTAGGCATGGCTTTCAAAAAACTTTTTGTACCAAAATGAGCTTGTCTTTTTATTTCATTTTTCCAGGAAATATCAAATTCATTTTTCAAATATTTTTTAAATAGCCACAGATTTACTGGAATAAGTGATTTCTCTCATAATTATCAAATATTTCTCATGAAAATGTCAGGGGCTAGAAGGAAGGAAGTTTATGTTCCCAGCTCACAAACATAAAATGTGGTTTTTCTGGAGAGCTGTAGATGTGTGTCTCCAAGGCCCAAGATCAGAGAGGGAGTGCTCTCATTGACAGGCAGTGGTACCTAGGAATTGCTTTCCTTCAGGTCAACAAACACCGTGTGCTTTTATTAGTGACACGCATGCATTCTGGTATGATCTTATGTAGTACTTTTCAAAATTTTATTTATTTGAGAGGCAGAGAGACAGAGTTCCCATCCATGGTTCATTCCCCCAAAGCCTAAAACCGCCTGCCCCAGGGGGAAGCCAGGAGCTGAGAACTCAGTTCAAGTCACATGGGTGATAGGGACTCATCCACCTAAGCCGTCACCTCCTGCCTCTCGAGCTGAGCAGTAGCCAGACAGAAGCTAGAATCAAGAGCAGAACCAGGACTCGCACCCAGGAACTCCCAAAAGGGATGCAGGCATCTTAACCTATAGTCTAAATACCCACTCCTTATTTAATCTTAAGAATAAAAATAGAATGGTTATTTAGAATTAATACTTATCAGTGGTGAGAACAAATGACATTATTTTGTTCATTAAAATTAATTTGTTCTAGGGTTTCATCATGTTATGTTATTCAAGGACAAGACTTGTCACCCTTGGCCTAACTTTTTTCCAGGAAACCCACACGCTGTGAGTGGCCGCACATTCCAGCTGGGCTGCCTTTGTGGTGGTGACACAGTCCTCAGGGCATGGTGTCAGAACCTCTGGCTTAGAAGCAGCTTTGCTTACCTGGCATAATAATTGAGTGGCACATCCCCTGAAGCCAGTTGCATGAAAGACACTGAATAAACCTATTGTGTACCTTAAAACTGTTGCCAGTTGTGTGAGAAGCGTGAATGCCAGTGGTGAATAAAAGAGCCAGAAGATTAACCTAAGCCACTCATCGTACTCCAGTGGCAGCAAATGTTTGCTCACTTCATTTTGAATCTGCAAGTAAATAGTGTGAGGCCTTTGTGGTTTCCCCTTTTAATGTGGCATAGAGTTTTGTGCTAAGAACAATGTGAAAGGGAGCAGGGCTGCTGATGGGCCACATGTGCAGGCACAGTGTTGATGTGAGCTGCCTACGTGGGGCTCAGAGCTTCAGGGGTGGTAGGTGGAGAGTCCATGTCTTTCTTTCCCCCGGGCTGTGTCCCAACGCCAGCCATGGACAACGTGAAGAGCGTTTCCGCAGATAGATTTGAAAAGGGTCATGTTCAAAGACAGCAGAGGGATTGAGAAAATTCCATACTTTTTTTTTAATTAAGGGAATTATCTAAATGGGTAAATTTGCTCCCTTTTGCAACTAGTCTTTTTACTTAGACTGCCAGATAAATCTAACATTCCCCATTCTGGCCACAGCTGGATGAAACTTTGGAACTAACAGATACTTCCAAGCTGTTAATAACAGTGGAGGAGAAGTGCAAGGCATCCTGTTACTCAAATTGTTGTGAGAAGCCCGTGGTCACTGAAAGAAAAAGCAACATCATTTTTCAAATTCAATCAAAGCTTTTCAATCTTAAAGTGGAATCATGAAATCTTAGACCTTAACCAAAAAGGTTCAGCATCCAGATACGTTAATAATTGTTTTTGATCACATTTGATATTTGTGCAGTCATCGCTCTTATTCCGTGCATTAAGGAAATGTCTTCTTCAATGCTGAGAAAGTATATATGAATTTCTTTTGTACACACGGGTGTTAAGGATCCCCCCCATCCCGTCATTAGCCTCATTTCGGTATTCTGTCCAGCTGCCCAGCTGCTCTCTTACTGTCTGCTGCATCCTGTGGCTCTGCTCTCCTCCCGCCCTCCTTTCCTGGGGATCTGTGTGTTACCATGCCCAGATCCTGCCCATTCTTGTTCCCATAACCTCCAGCACAAGCTCTATGATGTCCTGATAGGATGTTGCTCTCTCAGCGCCCCCCACGGCTGCCTCCCAGTGTCGGCTTCTACCTCCTGTCACCTGCATTACTCACTTCCACCCATTTTCACCTCCTAGTGATGCCGAGGACAGGCGCTTACAATTCTCTGGGGTAACTGCGCTTGTGACAAGGAACATTGATAGATACAACAAAGAAGCAAGCGCTCCAATATATTTGACTTAAGCAGCCATATCTGAAATCTCAGGTGGTCTTCCTAATTGTCTTCGCCTGGGCTGATACTAGAATGAGCATAGAGTCCCATGTGAACAGCCCTCGAGTGGAGCCCACGGAGAGTAATGTGAGACCGTGTATTACAAAGACACCAGGCTTAATTCACACTGTGGGAATACGAAGCAGAGGAATCTAAGTGTGAATTTAATTTTTCTGTGTTCTTTAGTTCAGGAAAAGCTAGTGCTATTTCCCATCACCTTAATGAACTTCAGACTTTTTATCAAGTTGTGATTTTCCATGGCATTTATGTCGGTGCACATGAGCACATAGAGCAGAAAGAGATTATTTTGGGGATTGGCACTGAGGAGCCTCATGGACTGAGTCTTTTTTGTTTTTTTAAGATTTATTTGTTTATTTGAAAGGCAGAGTTACAGAGAGGCAGAAGCAGAGAGAGAAGTCTTCCATCTGCTGATTCACTCCCCAGATGGCCACAGAGGCTGGAGCTACACCAATCTGAAGCCAGGAGCCAGGAGCTTCCTCTGGGTCTTCCACATGGGTACAGGGGCCCAAGGACTTGGGCCATCTCCTACTGCTTTCCCAGGCCATAGTAGAAAGCGGAATCAAAAGTGGAGCAGCCAGTATTCAGATCGGTATCGATATGGGATGCAGGTACCACAGGTGGCATCTCCACCTGCTATGCCACAGTGCTGGACCCTGGGTCATTTTTTAACCAGCTCTGAACTCTTGAGTTGTATTTCAGCACAACCTGTACCCATTTGCCCCTTATCTTTGCTATAAAGTAAAAGCAAGAATTTTACTCTGTGCTCTAAATTCATATTCTTGTGTATTACATTGCTGTTAATTCTGTCTAGCATTAGATATGATTTTTTTAAATTTATTTATTTGAAAGGCAGAGCAACAGAGGGGGAGATATATATATAGAGAGATCTTCCATCTGCTGGTAACTCCCCAGCCAGGTCTGGGCCAAGCTGAAGCTAGGAGCCAGGAACTCCGTGCTGGTCTCCTACACAGGTGACAAAGGCCCATTTACCACTGCCTTCCCAGGACCTAGCTTCCCATTAGCAGGAACCTAGATCAGAGGCAAAAGATACAGGATTCAAACCAGGTAGTTATATATGAGATTCAGGCATCCCAAACAGTATCCTAACTGCCGCACCAAGCACCCATCCTGTTTTATTCTTGAAAATATTACTTTTCCTAGCATGACACCCTCTATACATTTAACACATATGCAAAAAAAATTTTTTTTTTTTTAGTTTCTCAAACACTGGCAAAATCCACCCATTTCTCAGGTAATGATGATAATACAAACATGAGTCTAACTCTAAAGTGAGACACCAGTGGTGTTAATAGAGATCATCTTCCTGCTTTGAATGTTTGGAGCTCTTTTGCCTTAAGTCATTCTTCCCAGGACGAAGAAGAAAGTAGCAACTGCCTTTGCTTCGGTGCATTTTAATGTGATCCTGTCCCACTTCTACACAGTGCTCCAGCAGCAGGTGTCCTGAGGCCAGAGCCTGCCCTGTCCGCGAGAGCTCTGTGATGGTGAGCAGACACCAGAAGAGAGCGGGCATGAGGCTGGGAGGAGTCCAGGGCTGCATGTCCCAGGGCCTGGGGTGGCTGCCACGTGCTGGGGACAGGGAAAGGTCACCAGGTGGAGGAGGTTTGGAGCCTGAGACTAGGAAGAGCTCAGCTGACCACATGGGAAGCCAAAAGGAAGGGGGAGGGGAATAGGAAGAGGGCAGCGGGGCTGGGAGAGTCCTGCACAGAGGGAAACCGCAGGCTGAGCAGCGCAGCAGTGCGCTAGGCTGTGTGGGGCAGAGTCCCTGGGAGACCCTTTGACACAGGCGGGCCTTGGATGAGGCAGATTTATTAGTGTTCATGTATGGTTAACACAGCTTTAACTGCATAGCTTCTGTATATTCTGCTTATTTGCTTCTTAATAACATTAGCTGTCTTTTACCACTGTGTCGTCTCCTTGCCTGTGACGGGTGCCTTGGCTGTTGCATGAGGCTCCCAGGCCCTGGGGGAATCCTGGTTCCCAGGGTGATAGCTGGCTTGGGTTTTTCCCCAGTTTGGATGAACCTCGACACCCCATACTTTGCAGTATTTATGGAGAATCTGCCACTCCCTGCACAGTTGTCACTGATTTCAGATGTGGCCATCTGCAGCTGTGAAAAATAAGCCGCAGATGCAGCTCCTTCCACCAACACCATGCCCTGTGTGTGTCCGTCAGCGGGGCTCAGTGAGACACAGAAACAGGCCCAGGGCAGGGGGCACTGAAGCTCTCTGCAGCTTCGTGTTATCAGTTGTGCATGTCCCAGGGCAAGGAGGTCCTGCCACTGGCTCATTCTCACTACACTGGCTGCAGTTAAGATCTTTTTCCCTGGGTTTCTTTTCTTCTTCTTTCAGGACCTGATGGTGAGAGGGCATTCTTCCCTCTTTTAGGACCTGGGGGTGGGTGTCCCCAGACAAGCGGGTGTGGATTCCACAGGCACTTCGCAAGGAATGTGT